TTCAGTGAATATCATACTACTATATTTGCACTTTTGATATAACCTTACTTTTATTTGATTATTACTTATTTATGACTAATTTTTGAAATTTTGCTAAAATATAGAATACTATTATGAAAACTGACTCTTTTGTGAATAAATAGCATTAAATTATCAAAATCATTACAGGGATTAAGAGTATTATGAATTAATACAGTATACAGAAAACAAATATATATATTATACAGTATATCATTAAATGTTAACGAATTTCAATTAAAATATCAAATATGAGTTTTGTAATACTGTATCAATATAGTATATTATACGGTATTAATATTTAATGTGTTGAATTGTAAGATATCAAATGAAGTTTAAAACTATACTGTATAAGTTACTGTATTGCCAAATATAATCTTTAAATACAATATTTGTATTTTGTAACGAAAATTAGCACAAAACAATACTTTATTTAGAAATAATAATTTCCAGAATATGTGACCGAATGGTGTGTTTAATAGGAATGTGTTGTCGCTATCAATGATAGAAAGTCTACGGGAAGTAATAGCCGACAATCCGTCACTTCGATGTGTTGTCATTAGCTCTAATGGATCCGTCTTCTCGTCGGGACACGATCTCAAAGAACTGGTATGTCTTCACTCTATCGGCCTATTAATCGCTGTATTCTTAAAGAGAGAGAATTTTTCATTTAAACTACTCATTAACTCATTAGCCAAATAATTAATGAACACAAATGTTGTTAGAGATCCATAAAAGTAAGTACTTTTTCGGCAATCAATAACCGGGAACCGCTAATAGCACTAAAAACACTAAATACTAAATACAGGCTCTTATCGAAACAAAAGGCATTTCGATGTTTTTTATTACTTGATTTCAGCGATTTCTTAATGAATTAGTGCTTAGATATTGTTTAGAGTACTCCAAAGTTTGCGTTTAAATTCAAAACTTTAATCTCTAGTGCAGTGATTTATCTCTATAGGATAAATGTGTGCATACTTAGCGAGTGTATGTATTAGTATATATTATAATAATTTGTGCTGAAATTTTAATTAATGCTAATTCGCAGATACTATATTTAAATTTAGCATTTATTGAGTTAAATATAGATATTAACTATTCATAAATCAATAAATTTGTTCATTTGAAAGAGATTCGTCGTGAATAGCGTTGTACTGAATCACTGTTTGGGTTTTAATTAAATAAATAAGAGAAAGACTTATGAAAATTAGTTGTTAATTATTTGAGAATATTGAGAACGCTATAGCAGTATATTGTAATTATATAATTGAATTCTCGCGAGTATTACACAATCTTTGCTAATGAATATAAAGTGAGAATTTGACTCGAATTTTACAATGAAATATAT